AAAACTCAGTACAAAGAACACTATTTCAGACTTACCGAGGCTGTTACAAGTTTGAGAACCCCTCGTAACAGGTCTGAAACCAAGAACAATCCACCTCTGTACTGTGCTGAACTTTTCTGAACTAGGCTGGGTTTTGACTTCTGCTGTCGTAGACTGTGATCACCCTTACGATCTGTACTAGGACTGTCGAAGTTGGTCCTTCCACCTAGATCTGTTCCACACAAATCTCTCTTAGCAGCCGAATGGCTACTACCTGCTGCAAGGTGTCTTGTAGGGCATCGACTTCTGGAACAAACTCCCCTTGGGCCCTACAACCAAGGGAAACCCTAGACACAGACCTTGCTGTGTTCTATGGTCAGCCCTAGGGTTTCTTCATAGCGGCCAAGATAGGAGAGAGAGAGGAAAAAAAAGGGAATAGAGAAGAGCAGAAAAGTGGCGGTTGTAACCAGACAGACGGATTAGTGCTCTGATACCATGTTTGCTGGAACACAACTCCTCTTCCTCTCTCAGCACCGCTAGTTGGTTGGACTTTAGCTGAGTCTCGCTTGCCAGAGCAGACGCTTGGGAAGGCAAAGATTTCACAACCCCAACACCAGGATCTGAAACTCCCTCTCCGCCCTTCTTCTCCCTACAAGCAACAGTTCCCCTTCGTTCCTGAGAATTCCGAGCCTCCCTAGAACCCACACCCTGAAGACCACCGCCAACCTAAGGACTGAAATCTGGCGTCAAGTTCGTCCTTCAAACAGAGGAGGGACTAGACTCAATATAACCATTGAGCCCAGGCCCAACTTCCAGAATAAAAGATTGAAGAGTCGGTTGGGCTGAATAAAGCATTCCAGGCCCATTAACTTCATCTGAAGTCCCATGGGCCTACTGAGACTCAAGTGGGGGAGGCTGACAGCCCTTCTAACAATTCTCTGGCGCACTAACTTCCCTAGGGGCCAGCTGGAGATCTGCAAGGCATTCTCTAATTAAGGCTTTAATGGCCTCAGTACCCCAAGTTTGCCCGCTGCCCCTCAGATTTGAATTTCGAATCTCCTTCACAGCTGGATCCTGGGTAAACCCATCTGTACCGTTCGAAGTCACCAACATCGGACGGTTCAAAAGAAACCCCAAACCTGCATCTTCTTGTCTAACTACGGTCACCGGAGAAGCAACTCGCATCTCCGTCTTCTGATACCTCTTTGCTACTGAAAAACCGGGAAGCTCACTTTCGCCAAAATCTTCCAGGATTAACGTTTTGGAGCAGTTCGAACTCTCCTTGTCTTCTTTAAGGACATCGCGATACAGCCCTTCTCCACCTCTCCAACTTCGAACAGACGGTAGAACTTTTTGCCAGATCTGAACCTTGAAGACCACTTCCCCTGCTACCACTTCAACCTTGCTCAGAATTTGGTTTCCCTTGCGGATTTTCATTCTTACCCACTCGCAGGTCGCAATCTCCAGTGGGGAATCGTCTGTCTCCCCACAAGCATCCCCAATAGCCCTTATGACACTTGGGCACCAGAGCAGGAATGGCAGGCCGTAAACCCTAATCCAGCATAACTTCAGGTCCTCTCCTACTTCAAAGGGATCAGGGTAATGGCATCCCGCACTCGCCCCCCACCAGTCCAGCAAAAGGGGTTTCTTCCCATCTGCCACGGACCTTGTCTTAAAACCCAATCCGCACCAGCTCTTGACGGACAAATAAAGAAGAATAGACCATCCGCCATTTTCTTCACTCTCACACCCCCACCTCTCTCCAGACGCCGTTTTCCCACCTCTCTACCTCCTTAATCTCCACCCCCCATCGGAACCTACCCACCAAACAGTTCCTCAAAAACTCTCTTCTCGCAGTCACCCCCTGAGGATCCGTTGCTACCACCCTATTACCATTAACCCATTTCACCTCTGACACCCCAAAAGTAGGCCAAACCCCCGCCGCCACCACTTCTCTGTAAGAAAGATTGCATCTTACCCTCCCTTCGTTCTCCAATCTACGGTACCAGGCAGAAGCAGCGAAACAGACTGTAATCATCGCCATTCGAGCTGAAACATCCAATTGAAAACAAAGCCACTTTTACTTCAAGTGGTGGCTAAGCAATTCAACCATCTAATGAAACATCCGAGCTCCTTGTGCTTTTTTTACACCTTGCACTTTTAAAACACTGTGTTTTATGTAGTCATTATATCTCAATGATACTTTATTCCTGAAATTTGTCTGCTCATTTGTTTGTCTTTTGTCAATTGTCATACTTGTGCACCATGTTGGTTGCTGAGTTTTTGTTTCAAAATTCAAAACATAATCTTCTTATGATTTTGTTGAAGCCACTATGCATACCAAATTGGTATATTCTATCTTTGCTGTTGCTACTGCAACTTCTTGCTTAAATTTAGTGAGTGATATTATTTATTGCATTATGATATACAGGATGAGGGCATCCTTGTGCTTCCTACAGTTGCTGATCCTCCTCCAAAACTTGGCAAGGAGCTTTTATCAGAAGAGTACCAAAGTCGTGTTTTTAGTTTGTTGAGTATTGCTAGCATATCAGGCTGTTGTCAGGTAAGATTTCTCATCCATGCTCTTTGGAAGAGGCAAAGAGCAGATGATTTCTCCAGGCATGTTCATCAGTGTGCTAATTGGTTATGGTTTTCCTTCTGTAGTCCTGAAGTTGCACTCCCTCAGTGTAGGTTTCTAATGTTTTTTCATCTATCTGCAGGTGTCTTTACCATTGGGATTTTATGATAAGTGTCCTGTCTCAGTGTCCTTCGTGGCAAGGCATGGTGGTGATCGCTTTTTACTGGATATTGTGCAAATTATGTTTGCCTGTCTGCAGGAGCAGGTTGATATAGCTGCAAATTCCAAAGTGTCAGCTAACACCATCAGCCAGGAAGAATCTGCTGAGATTGCTAAAGAAAAGGTTTCTTTTATCTTTCTTTATGAAGTTGTCTAGATTCATGTAGGAAATTGTTATAACATGCTGTAGTGACCTACTATCAGTGTTGTATGGACTCTCCTAAATGTCACACTTCTGTATGACATTTTTCTTTTTCTATAGGTTTATAATATTAAAATTCAACAAGACATGGACTGCTTTAATAGTTTATACTTTCCATAGATGTTTCTCTGTGTCCTTGTTTATTTGTTTTGCCCAGTCAGGTTTTCAGATACACTCTAGATTCTGATTCCCATGCCCTTATCCATGTAACACTGCTTACTCTCTTGAATACTATGACTAATTTGAGTATGAGCGCACAAGTCTTTGTGAGGGTACCATGTGTTATTGTTCTTTACTTTATTTAGAATTGCTACTACTGTAACATTTCTTGTAGTGGACATGCTATCTGATAGGCATTTATAGTTGCTTGCTGATATAATTGCATTTATTGATTCATTACCTGGATTATTTTTTTATGTGGTTTTAATTATTATTTCATGCTTTGAACTCTATGGTACATTCTTCAACGTTGTTGAGAATGCAGTTACCTGGTTTGTGTTTTATTTTCTTTTATTCTCTTCCATTAATCTTCTAATATTAGCACCTAGGTGAACCTCAGTAACATGGTGCTGGTTCCATTTGAACCTTTTCATCTCCTCCCTAAAGGCCCAAATGCTGGTCTCTGGATATTCCAACCACCTTGGGAATCGCCTTCAGTCTTCAATAATCAACTTCACCAAATTCAGCACTCTCACAATCTGAACCTCTTGAAAGACAGCAAGTTCAGCTCTAATGGAATCTCCAACAACCAGTCCCGAAAACAGAGCCATCACATTTACCAAATTTATCTCTGAAAATTCTCCCTACTCCTGAAAGACCTGGTTTGCCCTGACTACTACTGTCAAAAAATAAGTTTAATGTAACCTGCATCAGGAGATGACCAATCTATAATACTCAATACCAGTTGATTGGTTATAAGTTTCTCCAATATCATAGTCAAACCCTTGTTTCTAATAGTGAAGTTATGAAATTATAATGATCGTTGAGATTAAATCAAATTGAGTCATGAATCTTATTGTAAATTATAGGGTTATTTCTGCTTTTAGATTTTTTTAAAAAAAATTTAAAACATAAATATAAAGATTATTGGTTTCACCTCATTTTCAATTCACATCTACGTAATTATTGCAACAAAATTTACAGCTCAACTGACACCGTAAGTATAAGATGATGTAAAGATGTAATCATGTTTGACTTCAAAGTCAATTAACCCACATATAATGGCTCTTTAACCTACAAATGATGGAAATTAAACTCTAAAAGTTATTTCAGTAGGTTCACATAGCCCAAATAAGTCTCACTCTGCCAAGGGTTTTAATATAAAAGAACATTGAAAAAGGGAGAGCAAAGTACACAACTAGGCCCCAGTCAAAATGAGTTTAATCGTCCGAATTAAATGGAATCATATTATTTTTATATCAGTAATTATCAATATTTTATTAATTAGTGAAAATATAAGCAGGATTACAATAATTAGCTATCAATATAGGCAGCTACCTCAGATAATCACTATCTGTGAATCCCAATAATTACAATTCCCCTCAGGGTATAACACCCCAAAACATTTGCTCTCTTTCTGCTCCCTGCTTTTCTAAACTATCTGCTAGACTGTTAGCATTCTAATCTCTCATATCATGTATCGTAAATGGAATCATATTATTCAAACATATTTTCTCAGAAGAGGATTCAATAACAAAATTTCAAAGCTCGGGCGGGTCTGGCCCTTGATCACCCCTTTTCTTATACCAATTCCTTGAGCCCTCATGGGGCTAGAATCAAGATGATTCTTGAGTTTATTAGTAGGAATTGGTTTCCCTAGGGTAGGGACCCAATTGGGGAGTATATGTATATGATTGCTCCCATGCTTGTGTGTGTTGGGGAGATCTTTATCACATGCATTAAGTCGAGCCGAGCTGAGTCAGGCCAGGTTGGTGTGGGGTGTGGGTGCATGTACACGTGCACCAAAAATTTACTTTTTAAATGGTTTTTATCTTAAATTTCAAACTGTCTTTTCATATTCTAAATGTCCTTTCATTTTAAGCGCCTATTTTTGTCAGCACATTTTAAGTCTCTTTTAGAACATGTCTTTTAATTTTAAACTTCGTAATATTTCAGTGGTGCTTTTCTTTGTTTGGTGTCTATTCTCACGGGTGTCATTGAGTCTATAATACCCAAGGATGTTTGAGACTTAAGACACAAAGAAAACGCTCTTTTGTAATTCTTCTAGGGATGTTAATAGGTCGGGTTAAGTGATAAAACCTGCCTTGGCCTGACCCTATTTGGTTAGGGCCAGGTCAATCTTAATCAGGTTTTGGGTTGGGTTGGGTTGAATCTGACCCATGCTTAACCTGATCCGTTAGCTTTAATTGACTATATGGATATTATTCATGGAATGGGGTGGGTTAGGTCCAGTATTCCCTTTTGGTTTGTTGGGTTTGGGTCAAGCCAAACCCATATTTAGGATGCTAATGGGTCAGGCTTAATATGGTTTGGCTTGACCTGAACCTGAACCTGACCCTGACCCAAAGCCACCCCAACATGTTTATGTGTGGATGGTTATTGAGAGCCATCAAGGTTGTTGAATCTTGGAGAAAAACACCTATAACCCTGTATGCACTATACTTGATCTAGAGGAGGCAAAATTTTGCTTAAAGACGGTGTCCCCGGCATGCCTCGGCTGATAAATTTCTTCTTTCTTTTCTCTTACTTTTCTATCCTTGCTTGTCTTACAATAGTGCTCTTCTATACTTCCTACTAAGAACCTTCCCTTTTTGTTCTTGATCCATCCCCACTACCACCTGAGAATTTCTCTGTAAAATTTGATCCCTATCGTTGAGGGGTTTGGCAAATTTCAACTCCTATATATTTCATTAAGGCTGTTGAATCCTGGAGCAGGACACCTGTAACCCTGTATGCACTGAACTTGAGCTAGAGGAGGTGAAATTCTGCTTAAAGATAGTGTCATGTGGATATTTTATATATATATATATATATATATATATTATGAACTTTATAGTTTTAATTTTTGTTCACTTTTCATAGTTTGACATGATATTTTCCTGGTATTTGGAATTTAATACACCATACATTTTTATAAATTTGTAGTATGGCCTTCTGCGTTTCTGGTTCTGGTTTTGTGGTCATCATAATTTACTTGGACTTCTTATTTGATTATACACAGCCAAGTTTCTCCTTGCCAGATACATAACTATGCATGCAATTGCATTTGAGATACTTGACTTAATTGTATATTGACTTCTCATGCTTTTCTTTTGTACTTCGTCTATTTTTTTTTGACAATAAAAGAAAATTAGTCTATTTTCTTGTTTGGAATCTATTAGCTTATTTAACATTTGATACTTTCTGTACTTAGGGCAATGCTGCTTTCAAAGATAAGCAGTGGCAGAAGGCTATTGGTTTCTATACAGAAGCAATCAAGCTTAGCAGTAAAAATGCAACATACTACAGTAATAGGGCTGCAGCATATCTGGAGTTGGGGAGGTATTACTAGCTTGAGTTGTTTTTGCTTCATCTCTCAGTTTATTGTCTGTGTGTAACGATTCCATTTTATTCTTACAGCTATCACCAAGCTGAGGCAGATTGCAGCAAAGCCATAATTCTTGATAAAAAGGTAAGATAAAAAACTGTGATACCTGTACCATCATTCTTAGCATACATGTATTGGACACCATACATACCCAATACAACATTGAATACCTGTAGAATTAGAGTATATTGTATAGCTTGAACATTTTAGAATATGTAAATGTCATACTTTATTAAAGAAAAGAGGAAAGTTTATGTGAAGATGCACAAGGGAAGCAATTCTTTGGTCAGTTTGGACGGAAAGAAATGCAAGAACATTCGAGGAAGATATCCACATTAAAGTAGCGATTGAAAGTATCTTAATTAAGATTTTGGTGGGGTATTCAGGAATTAATTTGGCACCATAAAATAGTGAGTGAAAATTTCCCTATTAAGGTATTGGCTGGGTATTCAGGAATTAGTTTTCCTTCTTGAATAAAATTACTTGTACCTTTAAAAAAAAAAGCTCTATACTCAGGACCTGTAAGTCATTGTGACTTGTTAAGAACTGAATTGAAATCAATTGTACATGGGCTGAAGATGTCAAAGGCACTCAACCTAGTGAATATAATGGTGGAAGACGATTCCAAGATAGTGATGGGGTGGCTGAAGAACCACAATGAAGGAATCTAGAAATACAAACATGCCATGAAAGAAATTAGGCAGTTGGCTGGTCAGCTGGTTCCAAGCACTTGAATAAAGAACCAGAAAAGACTGTTTTCTGATGTAATTTAGAGAGAAGAAGAGAAGTCAACCTAGATTCGAAGAGAAGAAGAGAGAAGAGAAGAAAGAAGAGAAAGGGTGTGGATAGAATAATTCTGGCCGCCCCACTAAATCTTATTTATATTCATGACTTTACAAGAAGAATTACTCTAATACCCGTACTTAAAACAAAAGAAAATAAATATGGCCCAACTGGCCCAAGTACCATAACTGTAACATAAAGGAAATAAGCAGTAAAGTAAAGTGTGGGGCTGGGACCACACACACACTAATAGTCTATCAACTATCTCTACACAAGCTTCAATGGATCCAATGATTGGGAAATGGTTTGGCTGACACTTTAGCCATACACGGGGTAATTGTTTTAGACACAATTGTAACTTGAGTGAGAGTATAATAGTGAAAATGGGATAGGGATGAATGGTCAGCCTATACAAAAGGGATGCTTTGCATGATGTACATCATACATTCTTTCATTTGAAGTAATAAAGTTCTACATTTATTGATAAAAAAAGAAAATCTCAATTAAGAGGACTTATTGGGTCAAATCTTTCCCTATTTTACCTCTTTTCTAGGAATAACAGTATAAGAGGATGGTAATGTGTTTCTTCTTCATCAACTGTCAGGAGCATTGCACCAAGTAATTGGTCCCCTCCAGATTTTAACTTCATAAAATTAAGCTTTGATGAGTAGAGCATGGATAATCCAGGAAACCCATGCATTAGTGGAATTTTCAGGAATTGTGATGGTGTTGTTCTGGTTATATACGTTGGACCTATTAGCCAAGGATATTTTTCTAGGGCCAAACTGATAGCAGTGCTTCAAGGACTGAGATTAGGGAGGTATTTCTCAATTACAAAGATCTGGAGGTGGAGTGCTCATGAGTAATAGTAGGGTGGTTCAAAAACAACAGTCCAGGATCTTTTTAGTATATATATGCGTGTGTGTGTGTGTGTGTGTGTGTGTGATCAGCAAATTAATTTCATTTTTAAGTAACTGAAACAAAGTACTAGTGTTTTAGCAGTTCAGTAGCCCAGATTACATCAGGTTACAACTTTTCCCAAAATAAAGTAGGTCTATCTAGAACATTTGCTGTCATTTTTACCCAGCCAAATTTAGAACTAAACCTTTTTGCAAGGAGATCAGTTTCCCTGAAAGCAAATCTATATTTTTCAGGGTGCTGAGTTGATTTGTTTAGCCCAACAAATGACCAAAAGTGAGTCTCCTTCAACTTCCAACTCACTAATTCCAATTTGTACTGCTAGTTTCAATCCTTGTAAAAGAGCCAATATTTCAACTTGAATTGACTCTCCATAGCCAATTGGTCCTGAGAACAAAGCCACTACTACTCCTTGGTGGTTTCTAAAGACTTCCCCTATGCCTGCCCTCTCCGGATTGCCAAAGGAGCTGCCATCTAAGTTCAGCTTCAGCTTATTTAACTCTGGAGGTTTCCATTCCAGTATTAACACTTTCTTTATGTGTTTCTATTTATGCCACTTGAGCTCATTTCCTTATTATGTCATTTGTAGAGACATCTCTGAAGAGTTCCACTGTTTTTACCCAATGTGCAGATTTGACTTTTATGGCTTCAATCACTTCCTCCTTAGACTTACTTTTCTCATTGAAGATCCTTTGGTTTCTTTATTTCCAAAGAGTCCACACCTATGCTGCTCTTGTTGCCCTCCACAATCATCTTCCTCTTTTTTTTTGTTGCCTCAAGAAGTTGGAGTTGAACAAACTGACCACATCTTGTGGGGGAGCCCATCTGCAACTGCAACCAAAGAGAGAACAAAAGTATTCAAAAATGCAAGACACAAAAGAGCGGGAGATTAGTAAATGAGGAAGGGTCTCGCCACTATCCTTACAAAGGATGCACACATGAGGGGAGAGACATTTGTTTGGCCTTCTTTTATATAGCATGTCACGGGTGTTAACCTTTCTAAGGAACACTTCCCAACATAGAGCTTGTACATTAGGAGGGATTGGTTTGCACCAAATTTCAATCATTGGGAAATTCACCCCCAAAGGTTTTGAATGGATAAGAAGGTTAAAAAAGGAGGCACTAGGTAAGAGGCCATTAGGGGAGGGAGATCAGACTCTACCATCAGAAGAGTTTTGGTCCAAAAAAAAAAAACCTTTTCCAAGCTTGAAAGTAGAACAAGGGAATCACAGTCATTATCCCTCAAACCCCTTCTAAACCCAAAGTTCTAATTTAACCCATGTTTTGATGGTAAATCAAATCTAGAAATGGGTTCAGCCTTGTGGTTTGACAATGAGTAAAGTACAGGAAATTGCAATTTTAACGGGCAAATCCCTAAGCTAGAGGTCTTTCAAAAATAAAACTTTGTTCCCAGACCCTACAATAAAACTGTTGAAATTAAGAAAGGTTGGCAATACCTCAAATATTTCTTTCCATGGGGGGTTTGAAGCAGTGTGAGGCACTAGTTTTGCATCCCAACCATTGTCCTCTACACCATGAATGCTTCCAATGACCCTATGCCACAACCTATCTCCTTCTAGAGGAAATATCCAAAGCCATTTCCCTAGAAGAGTTGCGTTCCTCTTAATCAAATTCCCTACTCCATTTTGTTTCTTAGATTTACACACTTATTCCCAATCCCATTTTACCAAGTGATCTTTCTTTTTCATCTCCTGGCTCCCACAAGAAATCCCTCATTATTTTTTATACTCCTATTATTTTTAATGCTCTTGAAAAGATTTCTAATATTGTAAGAAGATTCAAGAGTCGGAACAACCATCTTACAGTGCAAGTGTCAGACTTTTTGCTAGATTGAGAATGAGACTATTTGCGGTTGGGCCCATTAAGATGGTGATGGATTCAAAGAAAGCGAGTAAGAGACTTAAAGAGTTCTCTTTTCAAGTTGATGGTCATGTTTTGTTGGGCCTTTTTAGGTTGGTATTTGTTTAGGTTGGGTGCTCAAATTGTAAGTGTTGTAAGGCTTATTTAATTGTTACTTTATAGTTGCTGTTAGTAGGCTGACTTCTTAAGATACTGTCAGTTAGGTACTTGTCTTTTTTTTTCTTATTAGTTTGGCTCTAGGGTGTGCCGCCAGTGGCATACTTGTAATTTCTATTCTTTTTATTAAGTTAATATAAATAGAGAACTGGCGGCAGCCAGTAGTATCTTTTTTTCCTTCTCAATCGTATCTCCCTCTTCTTCTCTTTCTCTCTCTCTCTCTCGTCTCCCACTCTCCATGAATGATTACATGGTATCAGAGCAGATTTTCTGGGCTGTAAAAGACCTACGATCCCTCCTGTTTTGAGCAAGGTTTCCTTCTATAAATTCTTGGACGTGAAAGACAGAGAATCTCTAGTAGGTTTTTTGGCGGAAACCTTAGCAGATTTCTGGTGGCACTTCCTGTGGTTTTTTTCTTGGTCGTAATACCAAGGAAACCCTAGTCAGAGAAGGGCGATGCTGATAGAGACTCTCTTCCTTCTCTGTTCGATGCTGTGAAGTTGATTTCAGGTTGGCACCTTCATACAGGTGCTGGACAGGTGTGTTCTTGTTTGTGTCTTCTTTGGCCAATGGTATGAAGGGCTTATTCCTGGGTTATATATATTTGCTTGGATGTTGGATTGTTAGACTGTATGAACTGCAGTCGGACTGATAGCAATGTCTTCCTTGGTTGTGTTGAACTGATTACCGGGCTGGTTTAATGACTGAACCATCTCAGAGTTGATTTCAGCAGTGTCTTGTTCTCTTCCTCACATCCTAGAAGTAAATTCCTTGAGGGTTGGTTTTCTGTTTGTGGCTGTTGTGTAGTTGTGTGGTGTTTGGACTGGTTTTCAGCAGTATCCTATGGCGAGTTATGAATCAACCTCATCGAGGGTTACACCAACCTGCAACATAGCTGGTATGGGAAGTGAAAACATGATTTTTCCCATGCCAATTACCCCTTTAAATGGTCTGAACTACCTGGAGTGGGCTAAAAGTGTAAAACTCTATGTAACGGCAAGGGGTAAAGCTGGTTACATTAATGAAAGGGTGAAAGAACCCAAGGGTGAGACAGCTGAACATGATAGGTGGGACCAAGAAAACAATATGGTGATGTCTTGGCTCCTCGCAGCCATGGAACTTGATGCGAAGAAGAACTTTATGTGGGCAGACACCACTAGTGAGATCTGGGAACAGGCCAAAACTACCTATTCTGAGCAAAGGCATTATGCCAAGGTTTACCAGTTACAAGCTGAATCTTCAACCTGTAAACAGGGAAACTGTAGTTTGTCTTCATATTATTCAGCCCTTACCTTCATATGGAAAGAATTGGATCATTATCAGGCTATAGAGTGGAAACATGATGA